CCAGGCCACGGAAACAGACCTCCTGCCCCCCCCTGCACGCACTCCCCTCCCCACAGCTGCTTTGCGCACTCATGCCAGCGCTGGCATGAGCACTCCCCCACCCCGTCATGCATGTGCCCAAACGCCCAACCGAAGGGGTGAGCAGGCGGGCAGGCGCTCCTGCATATGTGCGAAGGGGTGGGGAAGCACTCACGTTGGCACACAGACGTCCGCACCCCCACTGCTTCACGCATGCATCCGAGAGAGAAAGAGCCTGCGTGAGCGAAGGGAGATGCCCTGCCCAAAGTAGTGGCATGTTCACAAAATGGGCAGACTATAAATCTAAATAAATAAAAATAAATAAATCCTCAGTCCCCTTTTTAATGATACCTAGCATGGAATTGGCCTTTTTCACTGCTGCCGCACATTGGGTTGACACTTTCATTGAGCTGTCCACCAGCTCTCTTTCCTGACCCATCAGCTCAGAACCCATCAGCTGATAAATAAAGTTTTGATTTTTTTTTGCCCCAATGTGCATTACTTTACATTTGCCATTTTGCCACCTGTTGTCCCAATTTGTAGAGGTCCTTCTGGAGCTCTTCACAATCCCTTCTGGTCTTCACTACTCGGAAGAGTTTTGTGTTATCTGCAAACTTGGCCACCTCACTGCTTATCCCTGTCTCCAGGTCATCTATGAACAGGTTGAAAAGCACCAGTCTCAGGACAGATCCCTGGGGCACACCGCTTTTCACTTCTCTCCATTGTGAAAATCAATTATTAATGTCTCAGAGTGAGTTATTAAGACTATAAGTGCCAGTTGATGAGAAAAAGTGGTGGACTGCTCTAGTGAATTTGAAACTTTGTACTTCTGCTGAGCAAATAGAGGAATTTAACTAGACATGATGTCAAAAATGACTACAATTCACAAAGTAGAATATTTTGACCTCCCAAAGTATCTCCTTGCTGGCCTGAAACAAGAAAACTTCGAACTTGGGGTCCAGGATGAAAATGCTGGACTAAGATTTGTCAGCAAGTCAGGTTCTCTTTCATCCAGAGTGAATCAATTGGGCTGCACATTTAATTGCCATCACAGTAGGATGATAGTATTAACATCTGTGACTACAGCTGTTTGTTACCTTGGCCACCGTTTGGCTCACAAATATTGCAGTTCTGGTTTCACAGCACAGAAGACGCACGAAAAGTGGGGAGGACTACCCAAAGGAAAATCCCAGCTCCTAAACATTTGTAACATTTAAATGTTTCTAAGTTTAATTGATATGTTTATTTAATTTTGTGTAGTTATTATGTTTGTGTAACCATATATACATCCTAACTGTGTTCTTAGTCAATTGCATTCCATTCTGCTGAAATCCTTTGTACACCAGAGAACAGAAAAAGAAATTACATTAGTTAAATTGAAATTTATTTAACGAGGGGAAGTATTGCATTCTGTTTCTGCCTGATTATATCGACCTGTGTTTAACACCCTGGCTGTGACTGGAAACCAACAAAGCAGCAGTGGATCCATCTTATGCTGCTTTTATTATGCCCAGAGCAATTAGTATGCCACTGAATGCTTGGTTAACATTTATTTATATATTCATTTTATTAATTGCTACTCTTATGGTACCTGCTGCTCTGTTGTGATTGTTAACAGCTCCTTTTAATCGTCAGTTTCTATTAATGTGTATTACTAGTTCACAACTATGTGCTATGTATTTTCCTTCCTTCCTCCCTCCCTCTCTTCACCTGCATTAAAAAATATATTTAAAAATGTTTTTGTATCATCTTTCTGAGAAATGTATCCAAGAAGTGTTGCCAGCTGCTTGTGTGGATAATACGGACACCACCACCATTACTGTGATTACAGACAAAGATGATGCAGTGAGAAGATGGGACCAGTTGTGCCAATGGCATTAGCATGGGATCCTCTGCCTCCTGCCTCTTGCCACGTTCACCTGAGGTACCTCACCAATTTGCCTTCAGGCTCTCAGGCGTTGTTTCACAATATCTCTAATCTATGACTTGATCATAGGTAGGAACACCGGGTGTGTGCTGGGTGTCAATGTTAATACGAATTTATCATACATACATCATACATAAACTAATATTCGCATTAAGCACAGTTTACACACACACACACACACACACACACAAACACACATGACTGCACTCAGTAAATATGCATCCTCTTATTTTAAATGAAAGGCAGCCTCAAGGGGCCACTTATTTGGATTCAGCACCCCAATGCCAATGCCAAGCCGCCTTGTGTCCTCTCCCTAAGATATTTACCTAAATGCATTTGTCAATGAAGCCTGATGATTTGACAAACAGAAACATCTTCACAACAAGTGTTCTAGTCCCTATCATTTCATTATAACATACTAAATCCAATCTCTCCCCCCCCCCTCTTATTCTTTACACTGTTCTATCTCCAGGAGCAAAACGCCCATATGGATGATTCACCCGCTCAATGAATCACGCAGGAGCTTCTGTAGTTCACTGCTTTTCCCCTTCCCGCTGCTTGTGTTGTGTGTGTGATGATATCCCTTTATGTGCCACAGAGAGGTTTTGTCTGCACACTGTTCCTCATTAATTTGATCACAGAGCACGAATGGGAGATGTGACTCCGCTGACCAAAATGATCTGAGGAACTATTCTGGCTTGCTCTCCCTTTTGTAACCTTCAGTTCATGCCTTTGAATTCATTAGTTGTAGACACGCACACTTTCTCTCTCTCTCTCTCTCTCTCTCTCTCTCTCTCTCTCTTCTGCACTCCCTGCCCCTCCCAGCACACAGAGTGAGGGGTGAAAGAACCAGTACATGGACAGATTTGGCTGTAAATATATTTCAGGAATGCTATTGACAAAGAGCTGCCCCCCATTGTAATAACTTCAGGTCCCTCACCTTGGCTCCCACTATCATCTTATGCACAGCATGCACATACACCTAGTCTGATTTAATCATAATAAACATGTATCATTAGGTCCATTTTGACTTATGGTGGCTGTTTCCAGGGTTTTCTAAGTACAGTACAGTGGTGCCTCGCATTGCGACGTTAATTCATTCCGCAAAAATCGCTGCAGAACGAAAACGTCGCTATGCGATATTAAAAAGCCCATAGAAATGCATTGAAACCCCTTCAATGCATTCTGTGGGCTTAAAACTCACCGTTCAGAGAAGATCCTCCACAGCGTGGCCATTTTCGCTGCCTCTTAAGTGAGGAATCCGTCCCTAAACACAGCGGGCGGCCATTTTGTTTACCCGGTGGCCATTTTGAAACCGCCGATCAGTTGTTTTTAAATCATCGCTTTTGCGAAGCAGGGAACCGAGCATCGCAAAGGGAAATTTCCCCATAGGGAACATCGCAAAGCGATCGCTTTTGCAATCGAAAAAAATGTGTCGCAAAGTGATTTCATCACTAAACGGAGCGATCGCTATGCGAGGCACCACTGTATTGTTGTTGTTTAGTCGTTAAGTCATGTCCGACTCTTTGTGACCCCATGGACCAGAGCA